AGAGTTTGCTGTGACAATCTGGCCTATGCAACTTTAACTCTATTCTTACCAGAAATTTAGAGAAAAAATTGAGCCATTTTTGAACAAATTTTGAAAATGTCCCACGGGCATCGTTTAAAGTACCCCCAAAAACCAATGAATGAATATCAAAATCGCAGAGCATCGGACTCATGTTGGAGGTTTCTTCAATTTGAATCCTTCCCATGGTTTAAGACGCTAGTGGTTCTTCACATACATCAGACAGACGATTAGACAGACGGAGCGAACGACGGGCGGGCGGTGCGGCGGATGGGTGGACAGATGGACCAGAACAGACAGGCAGACACAGACAGACGAACGGACGTTTAAAAAAACCGGAGCAGGTGACCCCAAAACGTGTATTTTCGTTGAAATCACAAAATCGATTTCGTATATACGTATGTTTACGTGAAAGTAAAAATGCTCTCGAATAAAATATTATTCATTATACGGCAAACGTTCCTTTTCATAACTGGACGGGATTTCCTTCCAGGGTGAACGCCCCTGTCTCATAATGAAAAGGTCGACTTTCTTCACTGATGACGTCAATTACTATTAAAATATTGCAAATGAATATTAAAATGTCTTTTTCAAATGCCGGACAAATAGTTGGTTCAAGTTAAAAAGTCAAGGTTAGTTGAACTACCATTGTATTTACTTAGTAGTTACTATTGTCGCCTCTTACCTTATCATGCCACTTACTGATATTGCGTTTACTGTAACACTGATATTATTACTTTCTCGTTATTCTCTCTAATACTGAAAATGTTATTTTTTGTCGCAAAAAAACACTATTAAATGTCGAGATTTTGGCGGAAATGCATGGTTTTATAATACTGCATACGGAATAAAGAGTTGCTGTTTTTAAACTACTCTTTGTCTGTCTGGCCGGCTGTCTGTCCGTTTTTACACCAGCATCCATATCGATCAACACTATTTTTTCCAAAGTGGTTATTATCCAATCAATCTGGTGGGACTCAAGGCATTGCGAATTTGAAGGAGATCTTTTGATATTGAGAGATACGTGTAAAGCATATATTATTAAACAGGTGTCGAAATGTTTGAAGACTCTAACAGAAGATTGGTTACAATTTAAGTTCGAATTGGCACATTATTCTCCTATCAAAGAAATAATTCATCTTATATGGCCCATGTGTTTGAAAAATGTACAGAATTTATAAATGACATGTTTGTAAATAAGATTAAGAAAACTATAACTGCTTATAGTAATCCGGTGTTAATTGTTAAGAGGTAAAAAAATTGAAAGTACACAAGCTAAATAATGTTACGATTATTTTCGGTAATTCACCACGCAGAGCGAAATAACTGGTCGGGGTCTTCGCAGAAGACGAAGAAGAGTACGTTCGCAGAAGAAGAGGAAATAAAGAAGAAATTCCTATCGTTAGAGATACCAAGAATACGTTGATCAGATGATTGAAGAAAACGACTCATTTAATGCCTACTTTAGTTCTCTTCTTAAAACTAAGTCTCATCACACTCACATATGGAGGAAGGCTGTACCAAATCAGTTTAATATAGTCATAAATACACTGCGAAAACGAATTAATTCTATGACCAACGGAAAGTCGTGGGGTCCAGATGCCATTTCAACTGTCATAATTAAACGAGTTGGAGAGGAAACAGTACATTATCTAACAAGAAGATTATTTCATGTATCAATCAACAATCCAAGCGTGCCCGACGATTGGAAGCTAGCTACCGTTGTTTCAATTTTAAGAGAGGTGACAGAACTGTTTAGCCAATTATAGACCGGTAAGTCTTACGGTAGTTGTATGTAGGCTAATGGGATATTTGATAACTACCTATATTAGACAAAAATGGGAACAAAAAGAATGGCTATTTCAGAGACAGCATGATCTTAGGATGGGAGGGAGGCTGCCGTGATAATAGATTTTGCGAAGGCATTTGATGTCCCACACGATGAACTGGATTCGGGTATTGACGTCAGAGTTGTGCGTCGACCGATGAGTGTCTTCGAGATAGGACACCAAGTCCGAGTTGGAGAACAATTTTTAACTCTGGCAAAGTGAACTTCAGGGATCCCTCAAGGAAGCGTCATTGGACCTCTCCTGTTTCTCGCGTTTGTGAATGACCTGTCAGGCTATTTTAAAAAGTACGACCATTTTCAGATAATTATTTAATATACCGAGTCATTCAACCAAAAGTAAACGAGGATACTTCGCAATAAATTGATAGAAAATAGAGTTGGGAAAATCAGGTAAACATTGTCGTAGGGAAAGCCTAGAGGTCTTTGCATTTTACTATGCGGATACTAAAAAAGAGGAATGCGAAAACGAGAGAATTAGCTTACTTACCTCTAGTTCACCTATTAATGGAATTCGGAGCTTTGCAGAACCTTGAGGTACTCCTGCTCTTTATGTTCTAGTTATTTAAAGTGCGCATTTTATTTCAACCCTGTTCGTTTAATCAGTAATAAAACTATTTATAATGGCCTGTACAGAGAAAGGTACTCTCAGCTGTTTGAGTTTGGATAGTAAACCAGTATGACAAACATTGTCGAAAGCTTTTTCAACACCTAAAAAGTCCAATTGTATGCTGTTTGTTATGAAAACCGTTTGCAATTTGCTCTACAAAACGGATGTGTAGATGAGTTGTAAAATAATTTTGCCTAACCTCATACTGCTCATCCGGTAATACCCTTATTTCTATGAGATATATGATAAGTCTTTTGTATTCGTTTCTCAAATACTTTAGATGCAGTGGATAATAAGCTAATTGGCCTATAGCTCGTTAGATCTTTCGAATTTTTGCCCGGTTTACCGACTGAAAGGACAATGGCCTGCCTCCATGATTTTGGATAATACCCAATTCTAAGTGAAGAGTTATATACTGCTGCCAGAACCGCAATCGAACTTCTTGGTAGTGATTTCAAGACTGTTATTCGGTCGTGCCGTGGGGCCTTCCCAATTTTGAGAGTATTTTATAATTGTAGTTATTTCGTAGGGTCTAAAAAATTTAATTGTAATACGTGTCTGTCATATACTCTTCAATTACTTTGGTATGCTTGACATCGATCATTGATACCCATTTTCCAAACATTTCAACAATTTATTAGTTTCCACAACCTTTGTTAAAAAATAGCTTTCATATCTTCTCATGAAATTCATCTTGACATTCAACTCAATGTCGTATTCTTGAATGATTTCTTTTAAATTAAAACATTTTCTATTTAAAAGTATTTAGTCTACCCTTCACGGTTGCATTCTTTATCATTAAAATAACATATTTAATGTTAGCGGTTTTTAATATAGTGTCTAGGAGAACCCGGCAGACGTCCTGCCCTCTCTTTTCCCTCCGTCTTTTTCCTCCCCCACTTTCCCCCTCCCTTTTTTCCTCTCCTCTCTCCGTCTTGCGCCGCCCGCTCCTGCCGACCTCGACCACGCCCCGCGTCACTTGGCAACGCCCAGCAACTAAGAAGTTCAGGACGATTGCTAAGTATAGAAAATAGTTCATCTAGTATGTGATGTAACCAGAATATATATTTTGTGGGCCCTTGATTCCGAAAAATGTAATGACGGCAAACCGTGTGAAAAATGGAACCGGCCGTCCCTCTGTGATCACCGCAGGAGCGTAAACCGTTCGGTCAATTGTCTCTAAAATTGATATTCCCCAATCAATCTGCGTGATCTCGAGGCTTTGGGAGTTTCAAACGGATGTTTTGGAGGGATCTTAACATGAAGCTAGAATCTGCGTTTTTAAGCGTTGGCTCGAATGCGATCCGTACCGCTCTTCTATGATGTTATGGTATGAGTGACGATGAGTTAACTCTTACGATCTCAGTTCAGGTCTTGGAAAAAAAGGTTGATGGCTGAAAACACTTTTTCGGGTTTATGTTGTAGTATAATGTTGCACAAGTTACACATAATGCGAGAAAGTATGTGCTTTTGTACCACCACTAGTTCTAATGTTTCAATCATAGCGTGATCCACCCTGTCGGAGGCCATCCTTTCCCCCAAAACTTAATTTTTAGCTTCATTTGCATGCTTGTTTAGGTACTTTCTTAGAGCAAAGTATACAAAAAGTGACACTCAATAGAGAACCTTATAAAAAGTAAACATGATTTCATAAAAATGTTCACTGAAATCTACTATCTACGTTTCCACATATTCTTTTTTCAATTTACGAGACTCCTCATACCTCGAAACCATCTTTTGTATTTAACGCGTACAAGAGGATAGGTCGAGGAAAAGGAGGGAAAGATCGTGGGTGGTCTGTGGCCTGTTTGTTAGGGGACTGTTCCGACATTCGCCTGGTGTTGAGCAGCCGACCGCTATAATTTTCCCCGGGACTTCTACTTAATTCTGCCATCAAAATTAAGAAAGAAATGTCATTCTTATAAAATATTTTATTAATTATACAATATATTATGTTAATATTTGAAAATCTAGAAACGCCAGCTTTTGTCTATCGCATTATCACTTGGGGGCAAAACACATCAGTATAATATATTATTTACGTAAGGAATCATATATTATGTTGATGCATTTGAAATTGTATTTTTAAAACAATTTCTATTTCAAAATTACTATATTTTCCGGCCCATGATAACATCAATTTCTATTGTTACGAAGCACCTCGGTATGGGCGAGAAAGGGCATGGAAATGAAGAAGAAGAAGAAGAAGAATGTTTTGAAGACATTGGAATACGGCTGCCGCGTAGGTGACGTCCACACATGCGCCGCGCGGGTCAAAGGTGGCGAGGACCGGGCTTGCAGAGTGCGAGTCACCTCGGTGCGGAAGTGCTGCTTGTGACAATGGACTTCCTCCGCGTGGGGTCGCCCGATGGCCCGCGCAGGGCACCGCCGAGAGGGAGGCGGAGTGGGGGGGCGAGGAGGAGCGTTGCCGCGAGGGAGGAAGTGCGGTGGTGAGGGGGGTGGGGGAGCCGGCGGCGGGCCTTCCGACGGCGCAGGACGTGAGGAGGAGCGCTGCCCAAAGTCGCCAGTGGAGAATCGACCGGCAGCAAGGCCGCAGTTTTCGGCGTCGAGATGCTCCTGCTAAAGCACGCCCTCCAGTGGTACAAGACCATCATTGTGGAACCTCTAGGTAGGTAGCTTCTGGGTAACTGTTAGAGGTTATTGAATTTCATTTCATCAAGCAGTCCAGCTTTTCAATTTCTCTCCCAGATTATTCATTCATTCTTACTTTCTCGAATACGTACGTATTCGTAGAATTGTTATGTAATTCTGCGGAAAATCGATTGCAAGATTTCATCGGAAATGCACGATTTGTGATCCACTGATAACGAAAAAGTGTGTTGTTTTTTTCAAAACGTCAGTCCGTCTGTCATCTGTGAACAACGCGTCTTAAGTATGCGTAGGATTGTTTTCCAAACTGATGAAAATCCTGTCGATCTGGTCTCAGTCGAATCTCTTTCATTTTCAATAACTTAATTAATTTTTAGAGGCACTTGACATAAAGCCCCTGGGAATTTTCAAACATTTCTCAAGAATAGCTGAATTGTTTCTTTAAATTTCTTGTAATAATAGAGTCATAAACACTTACAAAGGTGACGTAGGTCCTATTCTTACTGTTAACTCTGTATTTTGAAAAATTGCAAAATATTGAAATTTTCCGGCTTATTCCTACGACTATAAAATTGAAGACAGGAATTTTTCCTGAAATGAAATTTGTTCTCCTTAGTTAGGTCTTTCATTAGTCCTGTACTTTTTTTTTCAAATTTTAGTAGTTTTCGCGCAATACTGAGTGATATGAATACGTGCAATATAAAAAAAATGAAAAACAAATTTCTCCAAAACGGTTCCAAATTCTTCTTTAAACTTTTGTCAGGGATAGTGGTAAATGTATTGCATAATAAGCCATTAATGCTATTTTGCTCTATTCATTTGTTTCTTCAAAAATATACAATTGTAATTTTTTGACATCTCTCCCTATTTGCGTTAATATTTTACATTATGAGCGATTTAAAGTTTTAGTTCTTGGTCTACATTATGAGCGAGTTGCATACATTTTTGGATTTCTCGAAAAAGTGCTTCTAATTATGTATTATTAAGTTTTTCGTAAACTTTAAAATTTTTGTCTGAAGATGAGCTGAAATTTCCGCGTTTTTAAAAAGGCTCAAAAGTGGTTTTCTCCTAATTTTGTTTTCAAACACATTATTGCCAAATGCACTCTCTAAGACGATATCAAAGTAATTTTGCTGCATTCTTTTGTTTTTTCAAAAATAACGCCAATATATTGAAGTGAATGATCACTCTCGCTTTTATAATAATTAAAATAATTATTTATATTGCTTGACGGCCTCGCATTGGGCATGCTATTGGAGTAAATCAAAATTCTTTCTTTTATAATCATTAAATTTGCAATATATTTTATTGTATTCCCCTGTAATTACATTCTACGATTTATTTATTTCGCCCGTCCTTGACCATGCTATTGTGGTAATTTACAATTTGCGCCTGTATTTTATCTCAATATTTCTAATTAAATGGAGTGGCTAACTATGGTTTTTAGTTAGATTTGAGAATACTTCCGTTTTCTGAGGGTATTGTTCTTTTCTTCATCAGCTTGAAGACACCGCTCATTTTGGCAGGTTACTCATAAATTAAACAACTTGTAAATTTTATTGACTGTATTGCCTGCGATATTAAGAGTTGTTTGCCAAATGTTATATTTTAATTTCGAATTAGTTCTGACGTCCAACAATGTTTCTTAATATTTCCTTAATTTTGAACTGTTTGATAGCCATCGAATCTCTATAAACCAAAATAACTATTCTTTATCTATCTTAATGTTACCTTACAATTACTCACAACTTGGCCTTGCTACAAGATTTTTGCTGGCTTTTTCATCGCTTATTATTTAAACTTCCATTTTGAAGATTCTGCTCTGCAATCTTGGTGTTATCATCGAAACCAGCGACTGTTTCAAATATGTACCTGGAGCTCTTTTTACGACCACATTGAATTTAAGTTTTAAATTTAACTATTATTCGCGACCTAATTATCGCACGAATGTTAATAATTTCTCTCTAATAAATAAATTTTCAATTAATTCCCTCTTCTCTTATATCCTTGGACCACATATCCATTTTCTATCTTCACTGATTAATTACAAAATATTTCTACTTCACGCCCTGATGACCATTGATGTTGCCTCTACCAAATCCATCACAGTTCTGACTAAAATTGTTCGCTTTCACTTTCTTTCCGACGTAACCGGTTCATTTGTTTCATTGTTATTCTTGTTCCTCCATGCGCTCTTGTCGCACCCTAAGCATACATCAAGCGCCTTTTGTTCCTAATCAACAATGTTCTCTGCTTTATTTTCGGAAAAAATCCTAAATTGTTCAAAATTTACTTCATCCAACAAATATTTGGATCTTCTGATTCCTTGCTCTCGCAATGTTAATTTGCGTCTACTCCTTATATTTCGCGAGATATTTGACATTAAAGTATCGTTTACAAATGTCAAAAATATCCCAAGATATATTTGAATTGCCTCAATATTTTTTTAGTATATGTCACACCGTTAATATGCACATTTACAGCGTTCTGTAAGCTATTATTACATTTGTGTGTGGAAGTGCTTCAATAATGAACTTTTTGAAGACCAATGAAGTTTTTCGAAAACTCAAAATGTTTTTGATAGAAAGATCGTCAAATTACACATTCACATTAACGCTTAAATGACATTTTCTTAAAAACGTCTCAAATTTTTCAATTAAAATGTTCATGTAGGACGAGGTTTTTCTCTTCTATAATATTCTTAAAGTAATATAACTTTTGTACCGGTAGGAAACCGACACATTGAGAACATGTTTAAAAAAGTACTTTAGGCGACGATAGGTAGCAGTTCGCAAGGGGATGGGGCAAGAAAGAAAAGCTGGTCCAGACAAAAATAATGAGAAAAGTAACCTGTACGAGTAAGTATGTCATTCCCTTCAACTACTAGTTCAATAATAAAATATAACCTAGTAGTAAAATAACAAAGCAAATTATTTTGAAAATGCGAGAAACTGATTTATTTACCCACGATTTCAAAAGCTATGAATACATTTAGTAATTGAAATAAAAAAAATATAATTAAATTTGTTTAAAGAATTGGTTGCCTCGACCGGGATTTGAAAAATCCTATACTAATTTTCGCATTCTTACTCCGGTTACAAAATTTTATGGGCATGCTTTATAATAGGTAAGAAAAACATACAAATAAAATACGCTTTAAGTGCAATAATATTGAAAAATTCGCTCGCTTTACTCGCTCTCTCTCTCTCTCTCTGCCAATAACCTAGCAATAATCTCCCATCATTGCAGGATCTTTACGCCCTGCTGGTATCTCTTCTCTATTGTAGTAATATCTTGATGTAACTGTTGACAATGTTCATCACTAATATCACCCAAATTTTGCAGGAAAAATTAAAATTGGAGTGAAGAAAATGAATTTTAAGAGACATTATACGCCTCAAATTCTGTATATTTCTAATAATTCTGTAACCAATGTTTTAAAATGGTATTTTGTGTTCCAAGAAATGCATGAACGATTTTTTTGAAGGATTGACATGTTGCTAAGTCAATGTCTCGCAATTTTTCTTCCCATATTTCATCCAACAAGAGTTTAATGATTTGCAAGCCGAAGAAAAGTCCTTCCTTCGATTCTGCATTACTCATCCATGAACTTATTTCACTGCTTTAAAACTATATTTTGAAAAATCTATAAACAATTGTCATATAACTGTATTATAGAGAACACACAATTCACTCAATAATTCCATATTGTCTGCACAAAAAAAGTACCTTCAAGAGCAGAATATTGGGCAAAGGTCTTATGTCTGTTTCTACACTGTGTATCTAGCAGTTTAGATTAATTATTGGACAAATCCAAGTCCCGTGCCAAATCATGTAGGTTTTTCTTCTTTTCTAAGTGCAGTCCAGTGTTATACGTTCTTGGTAAGTCGTCTATATCTTTTGAATTGGAGACTTCTGTTTCTGGGGGAAACATGGCTTCAGTTTCATCAATTTTCTTCATGTTTTATTGACCATGTTTCCGGGGGTGTAAGCACTGGTAATTCGTCATTGTGTGACAAAGGTTGTGAGGAAGTGGTAGTCATTAAAATGGTTCATTGCTATTCTTCACAACATTGATACAGCGAATAACAATAACTTGAGTTTTCCATACAACCTCAACTTAAGGTTCGTTGTACAGGTGACACAACACTGGTGACCAGCTCAAGGTTTGTCCTGATCCAAACACGACAGCCGAAAAATAATGAATACGCAAGTTTTGTAATTCCATATATTTTTTCCCTTCGAAGTTTGGGTGTAAATCTTAGACAAACGTAACATAAGTTATCGGGTTGATTCGCACACTTTCGATATGAAATGTCGATTTGCATTTTATCGAACTGATTCAATTAAACCGGTCATGTTGCGGGCATATTTCCGAAATAACTCCGACTGAATCACAATCTGCCACCCCAACTGTTAGATGCTTGTATACATGCGATAAGGTAAGGGACTAAAATAAATTATTTCGGTGATTGATGAACAGTAAGAAATATGAAAGTGCACGCAAATTGTTTTCAAAACGTTTACTAAGACCACTGAGATCTATTCGTAATTGAGTGCGACTGCTCGAAGGGAGAATAAAGACGACAACCTTTAAATATAGAGGGTAAAAAAAAACGAAAACCTAATTTTTTTGATATCTTGTGAAAGTGGCATAGATGAACTAAATAAACATTTTATTTTTAAATATTTTTATGCGTATTGAATCTACTTATCTTAAAGATGCAATTTAAATATATTTACATTATAGCAAAATACAGTATGACACAGTATAAAGATACCGTATTTATATAAAAACTGCGATGTGGTATGACTTTTTATTATGAAATTCGTAATCTACGTATAAAACTCAGTACGTTGCGCCCTCTACCTTCTTGGAGGTAAAAATCTTGTTCCCTAGTGTTATAAGAATTTTTTTTTATCGAGAGTTGAGATTTGATCAGATCACGTCAATCACGAAAATATATCATACATATAAATTATATATTAGGCGACCAGTTTCGATATACAGCGGGAACCATCGCTTCTACAACATAACAGTTTAAAGAGCATTCTCTCGAGATTCTTTCATAGCATTCTTTTGCTGCAACAACGTTGATGATTTGGAATTTGTCAATAATAAGTTATTAAAGGAAATATTATTTCTTTATATCATGTTACTCCCACAACAATAATGCTTTGGAAATTTATGGTAAGCAATTATATCGTTCTTGTCTCTGTGACTTTCATTCACGAGCTATAAACTTAGAAAGCATTTTCTTAGAGATATTTTTTGAGTTACTTTTGAACCAAAATTTTTCTCCCCTCAGTAATCGTTAATTTGTACCCGTTTTAACCATCTGTTGTGTGCGAGACAAAATGTAAGTTTAGGAGAAAACTTTTTATCTGAAGGTTCTTTGCATTAATCGTTTCAGATCCACGCCCAACACAATGGCCGTTCACAGGAAACTTAATGTGCCCCTTGGGAATAATCGCGTTGTATGTGTGGATTGTCAAACACAAAGGACCAGAGCTCATGGCGAACAGGAAAGCCTTTGATCTCAAGTGGGTGCTCGTGGCCTTCAATGCGTCGCAAGTCATCATCAACGCATACCTTTTCTATTTGGTAAGTTTCACAGAAAACACATTATCATTTATCTATTTTTAACAATTTTTCACTTGAGGCATCAGGAAAGTAATCAGTAATCACCTAGGTGAAATGTTTTGAAAAAATATGCATAAACGTCTTCAAAATCGGGAGAAAATTCGTGCAATAAATGTTTGTACTAAGTTTAAATACTGCAATCTCTGAAAATAAGAGGGACATTAATGTAACAACTTTTATTGGAAATTAAAACTTCTTCACCTTTAAAACAATTCTGATCTTTACACGATATATATGTGAAGGAGTAAAACCACAAAAAACTCCATGACGATTGAAAATAAAACTTCAAAAAAACTGTAAAAGAGGTATAAATACATATCGAATTAATTCAAAATGTTTTTGTTCAAATTCGTACTTGCAATCGATGTAGTACTATTGGAATTGCCATGGTCTTATAAAACTTCACTTCAGTATCCTTAAATTTATTCTCCAAAGTTGTTTTAGTAGTCCTCCCATCCAATTGAATATTTCTGTTCAATGGAACATGTCTCCTTTCAATAAGTAAGATACCATATTGAACAGGCTAGGAAGCTCAATACGGACTCTTTAATTCTAATGGGCAGCCTAATCGGTTATTAGATCAATTAGCAGTCCATTTACTGCCACAGTCCTGCGCCCTCATGTTAACTGGGCAACGCCAATTTTCTCGCCAGCACTGTCTGTTCCTCTATAAGGCGCTGTCTCCTGGAGAAGAAGTTCAGTTCATCCTTCAATTAATCACAGCACTATCGTTATCAGAAACCGGTCAATATGTCTTCTCCGCCTTGCTGGAAACGTAAGCATTTTGAGAATACTTTCATTGATATATTTACTGGAAATTACTCTCGTCAAGAAACAGATTTGTCAGCGGTGTCGTGAAGATGTGATGAAGTTGCGGGTTAAACAAATGTATAGAAACAAAACTGCTTTGTACTACAATTACAATTACTTATTCTACTTTACAATTTAAATATACCACGATTAGTGAGATTTGACAATTGTCAATTGATCTAATATCCAGAAACAAAACAATAAAAAAATGCATGTGGAAGATTAAAAATAAGAAGTTTACATATATGGTTTTAGTGTGAAGAATACTCGCCGCCGTTTTCTGGCATATTAATATTACATTAAGTCAGGTTTTAGAAGCCTTTTTCTAAAAAATGAATGTTTTTACCACTATTTCTTTCCATACGTAACTCATTCGGCGGGTGTGCTCGGCATTTCGCATCTCTTTACACGTAAATAGTTCGATTCTACGTATTACGTTACAGTTACGAAACTGTTATTGTCTTGGTGGGAGCCCAATATGTTAAACGAGTTTGTATTACAAAGTAGTTTCAAGAAACACTCACAACATTCACAACAAAATACAACACAAGTGAACATTTCAGGAAAAAAGTCAAAAACTCCTAGCGGGCTCTTGGTTACTATTAATAGCTAGAGACCGGAATTTTATGTTAATAAATTTTTTTTTGTCTTGCTACATACCGTTCTGAAAATTGTAAACTTGACGAATCGTTCCCCTTCTAACACAATATCCAATTTTTTCGTTATTTATTTTATATATTTTGGATTTTTCACGATTTATTTATTCCACCTATTTTTTCAATTTTATTAATACATTGTTATGACGAAGGAGAATTGTTTTTAAATCAGATTTTGTCTTCGTTATTACTGCGTGCTGTGTACTTAAGGTGCGCTAAGTGAAAACGCAGTCGAATGTTCACACAATATGGACAACCTGCGTCAGTTATCTCAGTGGCGGAAGTGCGCGTCAGCGACCGAGATCATTTTCGTATGAGTATAAATCATATGTGACTCCACGTTTCGTAACTTGTTAATATCCGAGAAACTTCGGCGATGGACAATTTCAAAAGTGCTGAAAAACTTGACGTTGGCCTCATCACTGGTGTACATTGAACCTACACCATTGATTTTAGTGTTTGTATTATTGATATAGAAATATTCTCCTTCTTTATAATTAATCACCATTATTTTTAGAAAATTTTGCCGTATTAAGCTGTATTAACTTGGTTACAGATATCAATTACGAATATTAACGAACTTTTCCAATGTGTAGCTGATTCAAATGCAATCAGAAGGTGTGGAGTCTAAAATGTTCATTTATAAACACCCAACTTGTCCTGTTAAGAAAAATATCTTCAAATAGTAAACATTCAGATGATTAATGAACTGACCCTGGGTAGACAAGATGAATTAATCATAGTAACCTAAAGGTGTAGGAAGGGGTTGATGCAATGCTTCCAATTGCTTTAATGCTACTTAGAGGCTGTGCAACTGTAATTATTGTTTACTGGCGTACCCGTGCGAGAACTCTTGCGTGGTAAGTTCAACCCTCTTCTCTATCTTCCGTTTTCCTTATTAAGAGGGAAAGTTGTTAACGAAACGCGTTTATTTGTTTAAATAATTGAAAACGTAACTTGAATGTAATTATAGAATTCAAAATTAAAATAAGAACATTTGAAATAATTATACAATAGTCTTTGACTATTCGCTTTTCGCTTTCTTTCACAGTCACAAAATATTACAAAAATCCTTTTACTTTCGAGAGAGCGACTTGAAGTTGTCCATTCGCTATCAGTGGTTACAAACGGACGTTTTAAAAAAAAACACTTTTTCGGAATCAGAGGACCCCAAAACGTGTATTTCTGTTGAAATCTCGAAATCAATTTTCTGCAGCATTAAATATTTTTCCATTTGTTACGTATTTTACTCCATATATACGTATGTATATGGGAAAGTAAAAAATGGAGCTCTTGCGGAAATCCGGTTTCAGAGTCGAAATCAGCGTAAAGAATTCATTAAGAAACAATTTATTAAGACATGAGAAAAAACGCAGGCCGGTGTTATCGACGTGAGAGACAGGTAAAAAATACATTTTTGTAATTTTTTAAATACCAAAAGAATATATCAATATGATGTATATATCATCTTATGGAGTATACATTCCACTATCCCAATCAAAAGGTTAAAGAAAAAATGTGGATCCGTTTTTGAGAAAATGTTGTTGTTGTTCTTTTTTAAGTTGCACATATTGCTCGCAATAGTGCGCGAAAAAGACTAAAATTGACAAAAAAATTTACGACCTACATGAAAGAATCGTTTACGGAGAACAAACTACCACTATCATCAATTTTGTAGTTGTAGGAACACGCCAGAAAAAATGACCTCTTGAAATTTTCAAAAATTCAGAGTAAACCCTGATATCGAACCTATGACACCTTTATAAGTGTATTTTACTCTACACTTACAAGAAATTTAAAGAAAAAATTCGAGCAGATTTTGAGAAAATTTTGAAAATGTGCCTGGGGCTACAAGTAAATTTTAAAGAATGTTTTTCAAAATTTTAATTTCGACTCAAACCACATGAACAGTGGTTTCTTCAATTTGGAAACAAATCTGGACATAGTTGGGGCGCTAGTGGCGGACGGACGGACTGACAGAGGGTCTGACAGACGG